AATATAAAGCTATATAAAATTATATCTTTGTACAGACTTACATATAAATTAAAACTCGCATGAAAAAAAATATATATCTATATATTTATATATACATATATAGGGGTGATTGATCTTCCCTATATTTAAATCTATGCATTCAAATTATAGCTTATTTAATAGTGTATGTTGTTCTCCTTTTAAATTAAAATTTGTAAAAATAAAACTTTTAAATCACATCATTGGTTACTAGTTTGAGCTTAAAAGCCATAAAAAAATTTGTAAACTAAATGTTTTACATATCTATCTGAACTCATAACTTCAAAACAAAGCAGAAGATCAACAGATAGTAAGTTTGTTTGTTTTAAAATCTGAACCTTGCTTGGCATAAAGTATTGGATCATAGCTGCAACTTGTATTTGGAACAGCAATCAATATTAAACAAAAAGTTGACCATTTTCAGGTGCTTGCTTGACTGAACTTTAATTGATCTTAAATTACTTTATCACAATTGCTATTGGCGTTGAACTAAATTTCCATTTCCAAATTCATATACTTGTTTATAGTAAATGAACAACAACAGAAAATAAATCTATAGATACACTATTTTGCAAACTTTTTATTTTAAGCTTCGTTAAAAGTAGATTTGTTAACTTAACTTGCTATAAAACTGTATACTTTTTATAAACTTTTTTCCTGCCAATTTAGATGGGGAACATTGTCAAAATTGATCATATATGATCAATTTTGACAATGTTCCCCATTTAAATTGGCAGGAAAAAAGTTTATAAAAAGTATACAGTTTTATAGCAAGTTACAAAGTTTTATAGCAAGTTACAAAGATATAATTTTATATAGCTTTTTTTTCAAAAAGTATAAAAGTTTTTGTGTGCAAGAAAAGAAAACTACAGATTTTCAAATTAAAGAAAAATATGCATCATGTTTTCGATAATATTTTTGTGTATCTTTTTACGTAACATGGTATGCATACCATGTTACGTAAAAAGATACACAAATATATTATCGAAAACATGATGAATATTTTTCTTTAATTTGAAAATCTTTAGTTTTCTTTTCTTGCACACAAAAACTTTTATACTTTTTGAAAAAAAAATGTTCTTCAAAAATACACCAGAATTCAATATGGTATTTTCATTTGTATATACCCTGTGTATAATAGGCTGATTTTTAAATTGGCTAAAATATAAACCATCACCATAGCTTTAGAGATAGCAACTACAATTGTATAAACCTGGATAATATAATGATATTATGATTTTTTAATTAATGATATAATAGGTTTTTTACTGTTATTATTTTTATTATTATTACTGTTTTTATTATATTATTGTAATTATATAATAGTAAATTTTGATTAAAATAAATGTTGCTGCTATTGCTTTTATTTGTTGTTGTTGTTTGCATAAAGTTTCTTATCATAGTAGAAGCACTAAGATAAAAAAAAATAAAGATAAAACTCAAGAATGTGCTTGTTATAACTTTACTAGATATTTCATGCATGTTACACTCAAAATTTTGGTTTTAGAAATAATTCCTTAGCCATCCTCACAAAATGACTAATAAACAAACCAACTACAGTAAACATGTTATGATTTAGTTTTCTTTATTATCAAAATATATTTTGATAATAAAGAAAACTAAATCATAACAATCGCGGTTCACTTTGATATTATGATCACAAATAATATTCTAATATCATGATTTAAATATAAATTGTATAAACACATTTGTATTATGGTATAAAATCATGTTTCACAAATTTTGTATTGAGTTACTATTTGATAAAAACATTTTACCACGCATGACCAATAATTAAATATTCACATAAAACCATTGCATAAAACAAATAATTTAACAATGCTTTTCGCATCTTAAATACTTAATTATTTGCCAAAAAATAAACTTTACGCTATGGAATCGTGTTTCTACCCATAGCGAAAGTATCGATCTCCTTATTTTCTTGATACTTTTACATAAAATTTAAACAACTGTAATTTATTTTAGTGAATAGTTTACAATTTGCTTTATTATTATTTGTTCTTGCAAACTTGGCATTGTTAAAAAAAAAGATTTATTCAAAATTATGCAAAAATACATTGTCCCATGTCAATAAGACGTTGTCTAATATTACTAAAAAAGTTCAAAAGTCTATGAAATAATTTTTCTTCAGTCTAAAACATGACTTAAAATAACTATGAAAATTAAAGACGAAATATATATATATATATATATATATATTATATATATATATATATATATATATATATATATATATATATATATATATATATATATATATATATATATATATATATATATATATATATATATATATATATATATATATATATATAGGCAGATACAATTTAGGTACCAGGTCCATAGTTTTTACAAGAAAAATATTATTTTAAACTTTAAGTGAACGCATGGAATTATTCACTAAGGAACAAGCCATCAACTGTTTACAAAAAGCATGTCTGTAGTTCGACATAATACTTGTTGTAGCCAAAAAAACATTTTACTACATTTGTTGTAGCAATACTGAAGGCGTGCCATCGTTTTATTATTATAATTTTGCCACAGAGGAGCACCATATAAACAAATGTAATATGATTTAAAC